GCCCGGCGCCCCTTCGCGGGAATCCGAGCCTTGATCTCGCACAGATCCAGTTGCAAACACTTCCCTGCCCACTCGGGAACCAGATGCGGCAGACTGACAGTCTAGTCCTCCTCACCCAGAACTCAGCCCTAGGTGGTGGCCATTTCCCTAGACCCTCTGGGACTTCTCCTTAGCCCCGGGCAACTTCACCTGGGCCATCTGGTTGAGAGGCCCTTCCTGCCTGGCTCCCTCCCTCCTTTCGCTATTATTTACAAGTCTCCTCCGTAGTAACAGCGGAATATAAAAAGCCCCTAGAGCACAGGAAAACATCGCATATAAGAGAAACGGAGTACACAATTTACAAAAGAAAATACTTTAGTAATTAAGTGGGGGGGGGCTTCTATCCATCCGTCTGACACAGACCTGTCTCCCAACATTGACACACCTTCCTTTTCCCACGGACACTGCACTGTTCCTGGGAACTTTAAACACAACACGCACCATGAGCAGAAAGAGCTTCCAGAAATCAGTCCTTAGAAAATTACCAGAGAACAGAAAGACGATAGCCGGTGGGGACATGAAGGGCAGTGAAATCACCCAACCAGCAAAAGGGGGCTACTGAGGTGCCCCATCTCTACCCACACCCCCGTCTCTAAAAATCTGAAGTGTGCAGGGTATTCATGAATCCAAGTAAGAAAATAACCCCTTTTATGAAACTTTTATGGCATGGTGTGTGTGTGTGTGTGTGTGTGTGTGTGTGTGTGTGTGTGTGTGTGTGTGTGTGTGTATGGATCATGAATAGTCTTTCATGCAGAGTGGGGAGCTGCTGCTTTGCTCTCACCATTAAAGTTCCTGGATGTTGTACCACTTCTGTGCTCCACACCTGGCCATTCCACTCTCACCCCTCCTACCTCCTGCAAGGTCCCATCCTGCCTTTCAAATACCTCATCATTTCCCAGAGGTCTCTGCTGGTGGGGCCAGTGCTCCCTTTCCCAGGACATCCCGCCCAATGGCCTCCAGCGCTAGGTGACCCATATCCCAAAAGAACAGGCTGGCTTCCAGATAACTACCCTCCAACTGCCTGCAGCCTCCCAGAGTGCCATTGGTCTTTCCCATCCTCGGACTGGCAGCTCTGGAAAGGCACAGCTGGACCCTGGCTCTCACAGATCAAGCATTTTCTACTTTTAGGTGGCAATGTGTCCCCAACCCTCCGACAGCAGCCAAAACTAGAAGAAGTTTGACCTCATGAGTCCAAGAAATTATTCCTATTGGAGATGGGCCTCTGGACCCTTTTCCCTGAGACCACTGATGCGCAGCTGCAGCAGGAAGCCAGCCCCCGGACTTCCATCCTTCTGCAGCTCCCAAGGTAGAGCCAGCAGGTGGAGCTGTGCTGCCTGTCCGCACAGCACCAGGACAGGATAAGCCTTCCCTCAGCTGCCAGTCCAGCATCTGCATGCAGTACATATAAGGTGTTCAACACCTATGCTAAGGAGGCTGGCAGACCAGACCCTTGCCCATTACCTGCAATGCGGATGACTGCTCGCTCTGCAGGATCCAAGACGCTTCCATTGCCTACAGAACCACCTCCACTTCGCCGGCTTCTCTGTGTTTTCCCAAGGTTCCAAGGCAGTGTGTCCCCCGGGCTGGGTGAGCCACTGCTTCCATTGGAACTCCCTTCAGTCACTGCCACTGGCCGTACCTCCGAGTCCTCCCCTGACATGGCCTCTTGGGGGGAGAGTAAGAGGGATTCAGTCTCGCCTGGGGCGGGGGGAGTTGATACCTTACACTGACCTACCACCTCCTTAACCTAAACATTGATACCAAACTCCTCCTAGGCTCTCTCTTGCCCACACACTGACCCTCTGGTGCTCAGCTCAGACTGGAAACCTCTCTCCCCCATTCCCATCTATCCTCACCTCCTCCAGCGCACACACACTGACCATCATTCCTGTCTCTTAGTTACCCAAACGCTGACTACTTCCCTCACCCCCATTCCCAACACAGGACACTGACTCTACCCTCCACCTGTCAAAGCAGAGAGGAAGAGGGCGCTACCTCCAAGTACACATTGATAGGGCCCTGTCACTGGGACAACTAGATCCCTTGCGTTTCAATCTTGGGTTCCCTCTCCCTTGATCCTCCAATGGGCTGGCAAGGAGGCCATCAACAAACACTGCCTGTGTGCCCCTGTTGTCCCACTCTTTAGAAAAGGACCCCCAACCCCAGGCCCTGGTCACTGCATTCTATCACCTGCCTCAGTCTTTAGGAATCCCCATCACTTTACCCCACCTCCAGTCCGCACAGTCCCACCTCTATCTCTGTGATCTCTGCAGCAACCGCCTATAAATAGCTGGAGCCGCAGTGGGTGTGGGCACCTGGGGGCAGCCAGGGCCGGGGGGCCCCCCCCAGCCGCTCTAGCAACCCACCAGCTTACTGCAGGAGCAGCCAAAGCGCACGCATACCCACGCGTGCATACGCCCCAGCTCCTTGCCCCAAGAGCACTGGCGTGCAAAGAGGTGAATGGGGCTCTGTCTCAGCAGGGTGGCGTAGCGTGGGGGCACAATGTGGGCTCTGTGCCTCCACCCTCAGGCCAAGGGCTGGGAAAGAGTCAGCGGTCCTCGAGATGGTGCCTCTCCCGACCCCGCTGCACCGCGGGGGCCCTCGGTAGGCTGTCTCTGCTCCAGCCCCCAGCCGAGCCTGCCTTCACAGCAGCCTTTTCTACTCAAGCACCTCCGGTCCAGTTCCGCAATTTCCTGATCCCTGGAGGTGTTGTTCTCTGCATAGAGCAAGAGAGGCTGCGAGGCAGCACCTAGTTCCGGGTGGTCTGACACCTACACGCGTCCCCCAAACTCTCGAGCCAATCCATACCCTCCCAGATCTACGCTCCTGGTGGTTCCGCTTGCCTTCTCTCAGCCGCTGCAGCCAGACTCCTGGGGCCAGGAGAACCGCGGAGGCAGCGCAGGCGGGGCGAACTCAGAGCCCCGCCCCGGTCCCACCGAGAACTGCGCTGCCTGGGCACCTCCAGGAGCTAGCAAACGATTTACGCGTGACCCAGCTACGTGCCAGGAGTCTTCATCCGGGAAGTGGCAGATCTGGAGCCCACGATATGTCTAGATCCAGGCGGCACCCACTGAGTGCGCACACCTTGGCCGACCGGGACGAGACCGAGATGCTGCTGGCGAGCGTGAGGTCGTAGGAGTGCACCGGAGTCTAGATGCCTGGGTTCAGGGCCCACCGCCGCCCCCACCCTTTCCTTGAACAGCTGACCCGGCCCTTAGCCACATGGGTGGCTCCCACTCCCCAAACAGGTCGGATTCGGAGTTCCAGCCAGTCCTTCTATCTAACTGGTTTCAAGTACACGTTTATTCAAAGACAGAGCCACGCTAGGGCGCGGTCCAACCAACACGGGCGTGCCTGGCAATGCACCCTCCGGCCGTGTTCTACTGACCCCTGGCGGTCGAGCAGGCCAAGGAACCGGTTAGGTCTGGCCCTCCCTAGTCCAGTTATCCTGGCTTTCCAGCCAGCAGCAAGGAGCGCCCCGAGGGGAAGCCCTGACGCTTAGTTAGGGAATCAGAAGTTGTCCTCTTAGGTCAAATGTCCAGGAAAAAAGATTCAAGAGACCAAGGCAGTTATCAGGGGGTATCCCGGGATATGTTCTTGCAGGTAATTAGATGAGTGGGCAGAGCTTGGGTGTCATGAAAGATAACAAAGATTCTGGGCTGTTGGAGGCAGTCCACGGCGCTGTCGTAGCGAAGGACCTGACCCGAGGCCCTCAGAGGGGGCGCCTTCAGACCGCGGGCGCCTTGTCCATAGTCACCGGTCAGCACCCGTGCCACAAACACTGCCTTGTGGCCTTCTGTGTTGGGAGGCGAGTAGCGATCCAGTACCGACAGGGAAGCACGCTTGGCGAAGTACACGCCCTGTCCGTAGAGTGTGCCTACAGGACAGGACAGGTGAGACAACAAGGTGAGGGTCACCAGTGTCGACATGGCCTGTGTCCCTGCCCTACACAGGCCTTACCGTTTCTGCCACAAAAGCTTCGGTTGAATCCGTGTGCGCAGATGTCAAGCACTGCAGACTCCGATGTGCCGTGGTAGAGGACCTGCTCCACGGGGCGTTGCTGGCAGCATTGCATCAGGCGCTCCCGATGCAGCTGGTACTGTTGCTGCAGCAGTGGGTGTGACACTCGTTCCACCTGCCAAGTGCACGGTAGTTGGGGTGAGGTATTGGGAATCTATCCCTACACTGGCCAGAAAAAGAGCAGAACTCAACTCTCTGGTGAAAGGAAGAGTTTGGGATTTGAACGAAAACTTAAAGCCCCTCATCATGCTATGTCCAGAGGAATACACTAACCACCTCTATGGGACAAGTTGGAGAGTTGACTTCCAGGAAAGGCCCTTTAGGGATGTCTGACTCCTCTAAGAAACTCTGCAGGTGGGTAGACTCCACCCACTCTCACCTAAACTTAGGACCAACAATCAGGTTCAGCAGTCGAAATCCCAGCCAGGAGCTTATATTGCCTTTCAGTGCTGTTAAGACTCAGACAGTAGCCAGCATTGGTGGTGCACGCCTTTAATTCCAGCACTAGGGAGGCACAGGCAGGTGGATCTTTGTGAGTTAGAGGCCAGCCTGGTCTACAGATTGAGTTCTAGGACAGGCTCTAAGGCTACACAGAGAAACCCTGTCTTGAAAAAAACCAAACAACAACAACAACAAACCTCAAACAGTAGAGGAGAGGCCTCAGCCAACCAACTCAACTTCAGTCCAGAAGGAACAAACTCAGGGTTTCAAACAGAGCTTTTAAAGAAATTCTAAATAGCCTTTGGAGGAAGAATGCAGATGAGTACAAACAACATCCACAAAACAAAATGAGCTGTTCTGAAAAGGGGTCTAAATATCAGAAACAGAACGTTGCAGATGAGATTGCCAGGCTGGGGACAGTGCAGGGGCAGAGTGCTTGCTGAGCAAGTGGACTGGATCCCCAGGATAAGAAAGGAAAGGGAGGGGGGAACTGAGGGAGGGATGGAGGGAGGAAGGGGGAAGAAAAAGAAGACAAGGAGGAGGAAAGGGTTGCAGAGATAACTGTGAGTGGGCTAGATAATGAAATGGCTAAAGCTAAAGATTTAACTACATGGTACTCTAGATGGATTTAAGGAACTGGTGCTGAGAACAGAGCTAAAAGAAAAGAGAAAGGAACCATAAGAAGACAGGCGAGAGCACAAAGCAGCAGGAGGGCTAAGCTCTGGCTTCAAAATAACTCCATAAGCCAAGAGACACAGGTGGCACACCTGGGGACATAGTGGAAGATGCTTCCCTGAGCTGGAGGCCATGTCACCAGATGGAGAGAACCATGAAGTGCCAAGGACACTGGGAAAGATATGCCCCTGTCACCTAACAGATGACCATAATGCTTGAAGTGAAGAAACTTTGCAAATATATACATATACACCAAAGTCAGTATACAAATACAAATGGGGAATCCCACACTGGGTTTCTCAACTCCAATACTGATGTTACTAAATCATCAAGCATGGGGCTGGAGAGATAGCTCAGCAGTTAAGAGTGGATACTGCTCTTGCAGAGGACCCAAGTTTGAGTCCCATCACCCATATCAGAAGGCTCACAACAGCCTGAGGCTCCAGCTCCAGAGGGAATCAAAGACCTCCATAGTCACCTGCAGTCAAGTACACATAATCCCCCCACCACGAAAGACACAATTTCTTTTTAATCTTTCCAAAACACACACACACAAAAAAAACCAAAAACAAAAACAAAACAAATCAGGCCAAGAGATGGCTCAGTAGTTAAGAGCACTGGCTGCTCTTCCTGAGGTCCTCAGTTCAATTCCCAGCAACCACACGGTGGCTCACAACCACCTATAATAGGATATGGTGGCCTATTCTGGCCGACAGGCATACATGCAGAGCACTCATACATAAAATATTTTTAAAAATAAAAATAAAGCCACAGAGAAACCCTGTCTTGAAAAACCAAAATAAATAAATAAATAAATAAAAATAAAGCAATTATACTAACTTTTGTGGGGGAGCTGTAAGATGACCCAGCAGGTAAAGACCCTTACTGTGTGAGCCTAGGACCTGAATTCAGGCCCCAGAACCCACCCACATAAAGATGGAAGGAGAGCAGTGTCTTCAAATACCTGGTCAGAATATACATATTTTGAATCTAAACATTATATCCCAGAGCCAAGATAATAATGAAGACAAATAAGCGCATATTAGCAAATGAAAGACCATAGAAAGTTTACATTTATATCAAATTACAGGCAAGTATGGCTCACACATTTAATTCAAATACTTGTTTTTTTCTTTTTCTTTGGAGGCTGTCCTGGAACTAGCTCTTGTAGACCAGGCTGGTCTCCAACTCACAGTGATCCACCTGCCTCTGCCTCCCAAGTGCTGGGATTAAAGGCGTGCGCCACCACCGCCCGGCTAATACTTGGTTTTTTCAAGTCAGGGTTTCTCTGTGTAGCTCCAGCTGTCCTGAAACTCACTCTGCAGACCAGGTTCACCTCAAACACAGAGATCCACCTGCCTCTGCCTCCAGAGTGCTGGGATTAAAGGTGTGTGCCATGAGGGCTGGAGAGATGGCTCAGAGGTTAAGAGCACTGACTGCTCTTCCAGGGGTCCTGAGTTCAATTCCCAGCAACCACATGGTGGCTCACAACCATCTGTTATGAGATCTGGTACCCTCTTCTGGTGTGCAGATATACATGGAAGCAGAATGTTGTATACATAATAAATAAATAAAACGTTTAAAAAAATAAAGGTGTGTGCCACCATCTTCCAGGTAAGACTTTTTTTTTAATATGTGTGTGTCATTTCACTTAGAGACCGAAAGGCATCAGTGGTATCCTGGAGTTGGAGTGACAGGCAGTTGTGAGCTGCCTAACATGGTTACTGGGACTCAAACAGTACCCTGAAAGTACAGCAAGCAGTTTTAACCACTGAGTCATCTCTCCAACCTCTGAACTGCTTTTTGCTTTTTTTTTTTTTTTTACTTAAAATAGATTATTTTTAAGGGCTGGATGGCTCCGTAGTCAAAAGCACTGGTTTGTCTTCTAAAGAACATGGGTTCAATTCTCAGCACCACATGATGCTCTCTTTTGGCATCCTTGGGTACCAGGCACACATGTGGTACAGACATACATGCAGGCAAAACAGTCATACACATAAAAGAAAATAAATAAAAATTGAAACATATATCCTAAACATAGATTATGTTAATAGTATGTGTGTTTTGCCTGCATGTATGTCTGTGCACCACATACATGCCTGTTGTCAGCAGAGTTCAAAGAGGGTGTCAGGTTCCTTGGAACTGGAGTTACTGATAGTTGTGAGTCACCATGTGGTTGCTGTGAACTTAGCCCAGTTCTTCTGCAAGAATAACAAGTAATCTTAGCCTCTGAGTCATCTCTTTATCTCCTGCAGATTTATTTGTTTGTTTTGTTTTCTTGGTTTTTTGAGACAGGGTTTCTTTGTGTAGCCATGGTTATCCTGGAACTCACTCTGTAGACCAGACTGGTCTTGAACTCACAGAGATCCTCCTGCCTCTGCCTCCCGTGTGCTGAGACTGAAGGTGTGGGCCACACTGCCCAGCTAGCTCCCACTGTTTTATTTTTTTCATTATCAACATAGAGCCAAACCATGCAGACTAAAATATGAAGTTTGTTTATGCATCTTAACTACATAGCATAAACACATAACCAAATTATGAGATGGCAGAGAGGTGGCAGAAAAAGAAAAACCATTCTATTTTTCTTTGCAGAGCTAGACAAGCAAAAAAAAAAAGTCTCAGGCTGGAGAGATGGCTCAGAGGTTAAGAGCACTGACTGTTCTTCCAGAGGTCCTGAGTTCAATTCCCAGCCACCCCATGGTGGCTCCCAATCATCCGTTATGAGATCTGGTGCCCTCTTCTGGTGTGCAGATATACATGGAAGCAGAATGTTGTATATATAAATAATAAATAAAATTTTTAAAAAAGTCTCTAATAAGAGAAAAATGCAAATGTGCCATCTTAAGTTATGCATACACTAACTAGAAGAAATATTACTAACAAAACCAGTAGGTTTTAAACGCAGTACTTTTGGATGGCAGTCATGGTGATGGTGGTGAAGGTGATGGTAGTGACGGTAGTAGATGATAGCTATTGTTGGGACCCAGTGGTGACCTTTGTAACCTCTAGGGAAGACCAGAAATTCTGCATTTCCAGTCATCTTTATGTGATGACTGAGGCTGCTAGCCCCATCCTCAACTTTTAACATCAAGAGTGGAGCACACCTTGTCCAGTTGTACCACACAGTGACAACTCTCCTGTCCTTCCTATCGGTTTATGACCATCCCTATGAGTGCACTCAGTTTTTCAGGCTTCATCATATACTCTCTTCCGACTTACTCTCCATCTACTTAGCATATTTCCAGGGCTGTCTTTGTGGTTACTCCCTGTATACTCTTGGTTCCCTCACCACACGAGGCAGACTAGCCTGACAGCCCCTCCCTCCCAGTCCTTCATTTCTTTATTTTTGTTTTTGAGACAGAGTTTCACTATGTAACTCTGACTGGGCTGGAACTTGCTCTGTAGACCAGGATGGCCTCAAACTCACAGAGATCCTCCTGCCTCTGCTCTTCTTTTCTCACCACTTGGACAGTACCTGGTCCTGAGGCTTCATTATGGCTCCCTACTACTTGGTACTAGCTTGTTTCTTGTCCATGCGCATAGCTGCCAAATTTAACAATAATACAGGAGGAGCGGGCTGGAGAGATGGCTCAGAGGTTAAGAGCACCGACTGCTCTTCCAAAGGTCCTGAGTTCAATTCCCAGCAACCACATGGTGGCTCACAACCATTCGTTATGAGATCTGGCGTCCTCTTCTGATGTGCAGATATATATGGAAGCAGATTGTTTTATATATAATAAATAAATAAAATCGTTAAAAAAAAGAATACAGGAGGAGCAGCCACTATTTATAAATTCTTATATGTGTATATATTTTTCTCCCACTAACCTATATCCCTAGCTCCACACACACACAAAAAAAATGTCTATTGTTTTATTTACACAATAGTAGGTGGGACTAGCCCTTTACCAGAACAGGCCTCTGTTGGAGACAGAACCCCCAGAACAGGAAGTGTGATCCTCACATTGGCCACCAGATGGTATCACCTCTCCATGCTCCAAAGTGTGGCATAGAGTCATCTAGTTGCCCATCTTGTCCCTGGTAGAGAGAGAGCCTCACTCAGGCAGGGCTGTCTGATCTCTAATCTCTGTGCCCCTGTCTATCTTCCTCAGACTCTAAATGTTCTCTGGGCAAAGAAAGGGTACTTATCTATTATAGAGAACAGAGAAACCCTGAGTATGTATGTTGTTGACATGAGCCACCATGCCAAGGACTCCAGAACCTTGGCAAATGGTCCAAATGTGGATGTTGATGGTATGTACAGAAAGTGTCCATCGTAGCCTTCTCCCCTGGGATAGTGACTGCCTGAAGACTGCACCCACAGAGACTGCTCCTTGTCCATCTGTGTGCAATAACTTAATTCCACCTCCTGCTCAACTCCATAAACTAAAGACACTCAGCTGCTGCGGTGCTGCAGTTTCTCCATGTAAGAGCCCAGACCTCATCCCAGCTTTCTATGTATCGGTGTGTTTGTCTTTGCTTCATTCCCTCAATGCTCCCAGGCAGGTCCAAGTCCCTGGAGCCATGCATGGATGTGCCAATCCATTCTATCAGCTTTCAACACATCTGCCTTGAACAGCTTTTGGTCAGTTAATGGTAATACACAGAGAAGTGTACACAGGTCACAAGGCCAGCAACCCAGGACATGAACTCACTCGAACAATTTGGATCCTGCTGTGGGCAGCATCCAGTGTGTCATAGAAGGCCTGCACCACATCCTGGAACTCCTTGGACTTCTCTTCCAGGGCCTCCAGCCTGCCCAAAGGTTCTTTCAGCTCCTGCTCTGACACTGACACGTAGGAAGAAAGAACATCAGGGCCATATCTTAAGCACTAGACCCAAAACTAACCCATTCCACCCTCCCCGAGTCCAAGGTACAGACTCACAGTTGTTGTTTGAAGCCTCCAAAGGAAAGGTCAAATTCTGGTCCCAGGGGCCAATAAGCAGTGCAGCTAAGTGACGAGCTGCCTGGGCAGGCTGGACCCCAAAGCCACGGAGGATGATGCGGTCACCATGCAGGGTAATGCTCACATCGTGGCACCTCTCCAGGCGAGCCCCAAGCTCTGAGGGTAGCGTACGGCCTTGGAGACTCACTGTCTCCTCCTGAAGATGTACTTCCAAGGCAGCCGATAACGCCCGGTCCACCTCATCCATATCCTGCTCAAAGGATATGTGCACCACCAGCTGCGCTCTGCCCCCAGTGTCCTCATCCAGGGGCTTTTCTGCTTCCAACAGGGAGAGCGCCAGGGCTCGCCTTAGTGTAGTAGCCTCCTGCTGCTCAGCCACCTGGCCTTGAGACTCCAAGGATCGGTGGATAGCCAGCTGCAGTGTGGCCTCTTCTTCTAACAGTCTGGGTATCCCAGTGCTGAGGGCAGTGGGCTCATCCCCAGTCTCAAGTGTGGGTTTTTCCTCCTCCTGCTCAAGGGTGATTTCCTCTGGCTGCTCTCCAGGTTTCTCCTTCTCCATCTCCAGTGGTAGCCAGTCCTTCCCATGTAGCCCCTTCAGGGTAGCCAGCAGCTCTTGGACTTCCTCTAAGGGCAGAAAGAGGCCACTGGGTCAGGGGTCAGGTCTAGCCAGGGGGCTGATGAGTTGGAATGAATAAAACATGAAGATCATATCTGTAGGTGCAGAGTAGACCACAAAAGGGTCACTAAACAAATGACAGGGCGGAGCAGGAAGAGGATACTAAGGGCAGAAAGAGGCCACTGGGTCAGGGGTCAGGTCTAGCCAGGGGGGCTGATGAGTTGGAATGAATAAAACATGAAGATCGTATCTGTAGGTGCAGAGTAGACTACAAAAGGGTCACTAAACAAATGACAGGGCGGAGCAGGAAGAGGATGATCAAGAAGACACCACAGGACATCCCAGGGCCCCTGGGAAGCCCTACCCAGTCTCATGTTGTCCTCATCACTGTCTGTGCTGTGGCCATGGAGGACCTGGAGAGCCTCAGTGGGATCCATCTGTGGGAAGACGATGATAGAGTCACAGCAGAGGGGGTGTCTAGGTCTGGGATGTGAGAAAAAGGAGAGCACCCATCTTACCCTTTCAGGATCTATGTCCAGTATGGCGCTGGCTAGATGTTCTGTTCCAAAGACACACTGGAACTGAGCCTCCAGTCCATGAAGAAGGTGCTGCCCCTCCACACCCAACAGGAACTTGGCACTGCCTGGGTACTTCACGTCCAGTGTATGGCAGCTAATGCTGCCCAGAAGACTCTGCAGCAACTCCTGGGCTGCCTGGCATGGGGCCCTAGGTCCGCAAAGCTGTGGCATAAGAAGACAGTTTACAGGTTCAGAGCACAGGGAAGGTACCTGATGGACCCCGGTAAGAGAAGAGGCGAAGTGAGATTCTGAGGGGAGCTTACCCGAAAGCCAGTCACATCTACTCCTTCAAGTGGGAAAAGGGCAACATCTTCCAGGCTAGCAAGAAGGTCCTCATAATACAGCTGCAGGAAGCGCATGGCCCCTGGATCCATTGACATTACTATCTCCACCAGGCCCTCTTGCCTCTGCAGCCCCCCATGCCCAGGGCTTTCGAGCTCTCTCTCTGGAGACTCTGTGGCCATCCCCACTAGACCCATTAGCCCCTCCTGCCCTGGTGAACCTGTGGCAACTTCCTCCAGGCCCTCCTGCCTCTGAACTCCCATAGAGGACGAGGCCATAGATCCTCCTTGCCCCAAGGACCCTGTAAAGCTTTCTGCTGGACCTACTGGGCTTGAAAACACCATGGTCCCCTCATTCATGAAATCATCCTGCTCTGGAGAGCCCACAGTTCCCAGGTTTATAGGTTCCTCTTGCTCTAGAGACGTCACAGGCTCCAAATCTACTGGCATGGCTTGTTCTGGAGCCCCCACAGGACCTGTCCTTAGACAGGCTCCTAATTGTCCTGATGTCTCTCCAGAGCTCACGGTCATAGTCGGGGCCCCTGCCAGCCCTACAATATCTAGGAGAGCATGCTCAACGGCTCCCGATTCCCACATAGTTGGGTGATCCCCTCCAGTCATGCCCTCAGCAAGCTGCTCTGGCTCCAATACATCATAGTGGGGGACAAGGCTCAACTCAGAGCCCTGCAGCCAGTGTTTCCGCTTCAGCACCCGTTCAGCCACTGGAAGAAGAGAGAAGAAAGCAAGCCCATTAGGTTTCTAGCATAGAGGAAGGGTCCTGTTAGTTTAGTTTCATCTTCTCAGTCACCTTGCCATTGCTGAAAGGTGATAACGGTGCCCAGTTGCCTAGGCAGGCTGCGCACGTCCTCCAAGGGTCCCCCACCACTGCGACGCTCATTCTCCAAGTAGAGTTCCAGGAGCAACAGGTCCACTGGGACAGCACTATTCACCACACGTACTGCTCGGGTCTGGGGCACCCAGGACAGGGACACTGTGACCCCATTCAGAGGCATATTGCAGGCCTGCTCCTCCAGGGCACAGACCTCTGTGGGAAGTATGGAAGTCAACTTAGGCACCTTCCTTAACTAGAAGCCCATGCCCAACCTTGCCTCTCACCTGCTTCTTACCTGCCTCAGAAAGGGGCATGGATAACTGGACCAGGGCACAGTCCTGCCGAGGACTGGCCAAGGCATGGCAAGCCTGCATGGGGTGTCCTATGGCACACAGCAGTGCCTGAACATGTTGCTCCAGGCTCAGAGGTGAAGTGTCAGGAGGCAGTTGTTGGAGAAGCAAACGTTCAGGGGCACGGGGTGGGGCTGGCCTCAGGCTCAGCCTCACACCAGATAGTTGGTGTTCTGCCTGGCTTAAGACTCTCTTTGCATCTGTGAGGAGAGGCAAGGTGTTAGAGACATCAAAGTTCAAGGCACCCAGGCAGTCCCTAAAGTCAGTCTCCTTACCAGCAGGATCTTGAAAAGTGAGGATACCCCCACAGCCAATTCTCTGCCAGCTCAACAGAGGCCCTCCACCAGAGCGACGGTGGTTCTCAAAGTAGAGGGTAAGTAGCTCATCTGACACTTCGGGGAGCAGTCCCCAGAGCTCCACAGCTGCCCCTGCCTCCACCTCTGCCATCAGAGTCCTGGGGTGCGACACTTGGGAAGGGAAAAGGCCAGCTCCACCTGTCCCATGCCCCTAGCTGCTCCCCACCACCCAATATTCATACTCACCAGGCTGCCCCAGCCAGTCAGTCAGGCCTGATGTCCTTCCCAGGCAGAAGGCCTGAGATAGGAAAGCAAAAGTGAAACTGACTGAAAGGGAAGAGGGAGGTGCTAAGCCAGTGCTCAGGCGCTTCCTTTCCTGGTGAAGCCTTAACCCTCGGTCCACGAGGAACTTCTAACATCCTTTCTGCCTCTAGCCTCTGATAGACAAGGTAGATCACATGTCTCCCAGACTTTCTTTACCTTCTTGGTTTCCCTTTGTGACTAATCACCCTCCCTATGGGATGCTTGAGTCTCTATCTACCCCTCATGGTACCCCACCACCACCAAGAGTCCCCAAGCTTCTGTGCCCTGGGTCTAGACATGAGCAGCATTGATTTTTCGGACAGGCGTCTGGCAGGTTGTCACCCTGTAGCCCAGACTGCCTGAAACTCCCTATGCAGGCCAGGTTGGCCTTGAACTAGAAGTGATTCTTCTGTCTCACTCTCCTGAATGCTGGAGCTGTAGGCATGGACAACCATGCCCAGATTTCAGGCTGTGCCTTTATACCCACCACCAATCCTGCCCACCATCATGGCCTGTTTGCCTCTGTCATCTCCAGGGCTGTAACTACTGTTGCCCTCTACCCACACCTTCCAGTCATGCCAGCCCTACCTCCGCTGTTCTTCCAGAGGATCATGGTTTTACCCAGTCTATACATCTAACCCTAACCCTGTATGTAGATCTTGAGTCTCCACTACCTTCTGCTCCCCACAATTAAGAGCCTCCAGAACTTCTCAAAGGGCCATGCTATCTATTCTCTCTTCTCTGCCACTCCTAGCCACTCCCATTGTGGATCTTCCACAGACCTGGCAGGATACCAATAGCTGCTACAAACCCCAGGGCCAATGACAGTAAAAACCTAAAGTCTGATTGGTCCCAGGTCCCATTCCTCTAATCCCTCTCCACACCTGGACGCTCTGATGCTTACTGGGCTCCAACCTCCCTGCCCTCAACTCTTTTACCTAAACCAGTACCCCCGGACCAGCTTTACTCTACATGATCGCTATCGCCATCCCCACAGAGCCAAATGATCGCCCCACCTCCATGATTTCCCTTACACAACCCTTAGTGGCAAATATAACATGGAGCTAAAAACTTAAAGGGCCTCTGAGTTGTCCAGGCGCCTTCTGAATTCCTATATTCAACTTTGTGTTTGTCATTTTATTTTCCTCAAAGATCCCGCAGATTAGGTGAGATTCTGTTTCTACAAAAGCCAGTCCCACCTACTCTATGCTTTCTTCTTACGGGACTTAGCCACCTTCTAGCACACTGTCCTTCATTTAGATAAATAAATACCTGCTACAGAGGGCCTGTCAAAGGCAGGGGTGCACAAAAACAGCTCATATTACTGCCATTGTTAAATTTTTAGGAATTTCAGTAAACTGGGTGTTACACTGACAATGCCTCATGTACTGGTTAGTTTTAACTGTCAACTTGACCCATCCTAGAATTATCTAGAAAGAAAGTCTTAGAGTGGAATTATCTAAAAGAGGTTGGCCTGTGGGCAGGCCTGTGAGGGATTTTCTTGTTAATTAGGAGTGGAACAACCACCATTTATATGAACTGTATAAGAAAGCTTATTGAGGGCTGGAGAGATGGCTCAGTGGTTAAGAGCACTGGCTGCTCTTCTAGAGGTCCTGAGTTCAATTCCCAGCAACCATATGGTGGCTCACAACCATCTATAATGAGATCTGATGCCCTCTTCTGGACTGTAGGCATACAGACAGAATACTGTATACATAATAAATAGATAAATCTTACAAAAAGAAAAAAGAAATCTGAGAGCAAACAAACAGGTAGCATGGGTTCCTGCTCTTGGCTGTGCACACGAAGTGACCAGCTGCTTGAGTTCCTGCTTTGATGGACTGTGACCTGGAATTTCGAGCCCAATGAGCCATTCCTTCCTGTGCTGCTTTTTTGTCAGGATGTTTATCATAGGAACAGAATGCAGCTAGAATTGGTAATCAACAATGTTGAGCATGTTTACAGCAGGAGGACGTGCAAAGGCACTGGGCATATCCTTACTAGGTCCAGCTGTCAACACTTTGTAGACTCAGGAGAGAACCCATTCCCAGCCTTTCTGTAAAGCCTCAGAAAGGCCAGACATTAAGAACCAAAGAAGCATAGAATGTCCTAAGCTACAGAGGACCAGGAAACCACACAAGGGAATGTTTCTTCAGGAAATCTCCCACCAGAGTTGAGTCAGGGAGTTGGTACCACCTCAGCTTCCTGACAAGTTTATTTTTGGTTTTTCAAGGCAGGGTTCCTCTATGTAGCCCTGGTTGGCCTGCAACTCTCTTTATAGAACAAGCTGTCCTCGAACTCACAGAGATCTACCCGCCTCTGTCTGGAGAATGGGGGACTTAAAGGCATGTGTCACCACCACCTGGCCTGTTGTTTAAGGATATGAGACAAGTGACAAGAGGCTGAGTATGGAGAGAATGGAACAATTAAATGATTAGGTCTCTTGGTCTGGAACAGGTGTGTATAAAAAGGGAACCTGTACGGTCTGGGTGTGGTGTATTATGCCTGTAATCTCAGTAGTTGGAAGGCTGAGGCAGGAGGATGGCCACAAGTTTGAAGCCAGCCTGAATTACATAGTGAGTTCCAAGCCAGCTCTTCAAAACAGCAAAGCCGAGAAGGGATGGAGTCCTTGGAGGCTTCAGTAAATCCTGGGTTTAGGAATTAACTCCCCGTATATAGAGCCACATAAGCCAAAACAGAACCATGCCTCCAGAAGTCGTTAGCCCCCACGCCAGACTTCAACCTAATCAGAAAGCCAGTGTACAGGGCTCTGACCTAGGACGGCTACAACACAAAAGTAAACTGCCTAGCCAGGCGGGGCGGAGCAGTTTCTGTCGGCGCAAAAGCACGCTGACAGGTCACAACCACCCCCCCTATCACCAGCCCCC